ACACACACTGTAGTAGTGGCAACAGCAGTATAAAGGCTAGAGTTGCCCCACTGGGAAGTTTAGTCTGTTTTGAAGAAGGACCCCAAGTATTATTATGAGGATCAGTGAATGCCCAGAAAACTGTGGCTTTAGCGTGTTTATTCGCTTTACTTTGAAGAGTGACATGTGATCAGTGACTTAAAGGAGACATTATTTAGGAGAAAAAGGGGTTGTTCCTTCAGACACTGCAATACCAAGCCTCCCCTGCCACCTACTGGCTATTGGTTATAGTTTTTTCTTTTTCTTTTTTTTAAAGAGGGTTTTGCCTTGGGGTGCATGTACTTGCCAGAGACAGAGACAAAAATAGAGACAGTGAAAGTGAGAAGTCACCCCTGAAGGGGGGATGGCCACACTGGAATCCTTTCTCCTCCTGGGATTTCAGGCATGTACACACAGGCACCCGGTGTGAGTTTCAAGCCACAGAGTCTGGGACTCAAACTATGGTTGGCCAAGTGGGAGTCCAGCGACGTAACTGCTAAACCATCTGCTGCCTCCCCTTTCTATTCTAAGTAAGACATAAAATGCAAAGAATAATATCACAAACACCAATGCACACACTGCCAGCTTAAGAAATGAAATAGTTATCAATAAAGTTTGAAATCTCAGGCTAGCAGGTGGCATAGTGGTTAAGGCAGCTAGATCCCATACGGCCTACTGGTTCTAGTCCCAGACTGATAGCTTGAGAAACATGCCAGGCAAGGACCAGCAGTTAGCATAATGGCTATGTCGCTGGACTCCCATGTAGGAGAACGTGGTCTGCGTCTTTGCCTGGTGGCTTAAAACTTACGCCAGGTACTTGTGCGTGCGTGCCCAAGATCCCGAGAGGAGAACGGAGGAGAAGGGATTGCGGCATGGCCATCCCCCCCGGGAGGACTTCTCGCTTTCTGTCTCTCTGTCTGGCGAGTGCACGCACCCTGTAGCAAAAACCTCTCTAAATAAATAAATAAATAAATAAATAAATAAAGAGAAACGTGCCAGGCGTCTCTGAGTGCCTACCCAAAATCCCCAAAGAGAGATGGAGAAGACAGTGCAGTGTGACCAGGCCCCATGGGGGGGGGAGAGGTGGGGGGTGCTTTCTTGCTTTCTCTCTCTCTGGCAAAAAATTAAAAAAAAAAAAAAAAAGGTTTGAAATCTCCTACATGTCATTCCATGGTTACATATCCCTTTAAAAATGATGACCTGTGTTAAAATTTCTCTTTTGGGGGGCTAGCCTGTGGTGTGGTGGTTAAGGTGCTGGATCCCATATGGCCAGCTGCACAGTTTGAGTCCTGGACCTGGCACCTTGTAAAACACCAAGCTTGTGTGTGTGCAAGCCCAAAATCCCCAAAGGAGGGAAAAATGAAAAAGAATTGCAGTGTGACCGCTAACGTGCGAGAGTGCTTTTTCATTTTCCCTCTCTTTCCTCTCTCTCCAGCAAAGTGCAAGTACTCTCTGGTAAGATGTTTTTTAAAGAAACTATCTTTTGGCCCTACTTATGTTGACAGCTCATTTGGCTTATCATGTGTATTCTGTTAATCTAATAAATTACACTAACCGTGTTTCCAGAGTTAAACTACGCTTGTGTGTTTTTTTTTTTTTTTTGAGAGGTTTTCGCTATAGGGCGCGTGCGCTCGCCAGACAGACAGAGAGAGACATAGAGACAGCAAGCGAGAAATCACCCCCCAGGGGGGATGGTCACGCCGCAATCCCTTCTCCTCCATTCTCCTCTCGGGATCTTGGGCACGCACGCACACGTGCCCGGCGTGAGATTTAAGCCACCGGGTCCGAGACGCGAACCACGGTCGACTACGTGGGAGGCCAGCGACATAGCCATTACGCTAACTGCTGGTTCCCATACGCTTGTGTTTTTGAGATAAATGTTGTCAGAGTGGGTGAGCTTAGCCTGTATTTTTTTTTCTCAATGGTTCTGTATGGTTATGGTACGTCAATCACATAAAATAGGATGGACTTTTTTTTTTAGTATCTATTCCCTGTAGTGAAAATTTAAAGACTTAGTAGAAATATTTGTTTTTAAATTCTGAGAGGTCAGTGAGAACAGGTAAAGGGTGTTCATTTCACTGCATGAATGAATAGTCTACTAAATTATAGATTAAAGAGAAAAGATGTGCTTGTAAATTCATGAGAAAGCAGGACATTGTTGAACTACCCTGACTCGTCCAAGAACTTCAATGATGTGAACTTGGTTTCTTACAGAAAACGACCCCTGAGCTAGCAGTGTTTGTGAGAGCATGTTTCTTAAAACACTTACCTTTTACATATTAAAAGTTCTGTTTCTTTATTTGCTAGGAATTCTAGGAGCACTGTATTTATGGATGTACTTAACTAGTCTCTACAAACTGATCAGAACAGAGCTCCTATTTTAAGAGACTGTTATCTAGTTTATGAATACCCTTCAGGGGGCATGAAAAACTTCATACTCATAAAGAAAAGACTTCTCTATTACAGTCAAAATCCCAGAGAGCTTACGGCTTTTTTTTTTTTTTTTAATTTGCAAGAGAGTACTTTGCACTCACCGGAGAGACAGAGGGAGAAGGTGGGAAATAAGCAAATGATCCCCCAGGGGAATAGTTGTGCAACCCCTTTTTCCCTTCTCCCTCCTATTAAGGTCTTGGACATGCTCACATGCTTGATGTTTTTCAAGATGCCAGGCAGGGGACTCAAACACTACAGTTAGTCATGTCTGGATCCAGTCACCCCACCCACAGCGTCAGAAGCTGGCTCTGGCTTCAATTTTATAGCATCTGTCATTGGCCAAAAGTAAACAAAGAATACAAAAACTTGACAGTCTAAGTAGCAAGGTATTTTCCTAATTTGGAGTCACCAAGAGATGAATAAAGAGATTCTGTTCTCTCTGACTCCATAGAGAATAGATACCCATTATCTCTCTCTCTCTCTTTCTCTTTTATTTTTTTAATAAATGTTTTCCTTTAGTTGCTAGAGGGCATGTGCACCCACCCAGGTAGGGGGACAGTCCAAGGAGCCATGATCATGTTGCAATCCTCCATTCTCCGTCCTGTCAGGATCTAGGGTATTCATGCACACCCAGAGTGTTTTTCAAGCCACCAGGGCTGGGATTTGAACTGTGGATAGGGGATCTGGTTCCTGATGCACTGCACTTAACCACTGTTCCACAACGCTGGCCCAATATTCATCATCTCAACAGAGATCACCAAATGGTGAGAACGTGGAACAGAGTCCCAAGTACTGTTGTCACCGATGAGGAACCTGGTGGCCCTGTACAAGTCATGGCTATATGTGCACGGAGTGTTCTCCTGTCACTCTCAGAGGCTGACCATTATACACCATTACTGGACATGGCTTTGGAAGGGACAGAGACCAAACCATAGGCGGACTGACAGACTTGGCCAAAAACCATAATCAAAGTAAAAAACACAGTATCAGGGCCAGCCGGTGATGTGGTGGGTTAAGGTGGCTGGATCCCACATGGCCAACCACATGGTCAGAGTCCAGGACCCAGTGGCTTGAAAGACACACTGGATGTGAGTGCATGAGTGACAAATGTCCAGAAAGGAGGGAGAAATGGAGAAGGGATTGCAGTTTGACCATGCCTCATTGCGGGCGTGGGAGGTGGGGTGGGGATGCTTTCTCACTTTGTCTCTCTGTCTCTCTTCTATCAGTACACACACCATATGGCAAAAATAAAAATAAAATAAAAACTTCAATTTAGAATGTGGTAGTTCAAATGAAGCAGCAGTTCACAAAGTGAAGTTTATATGTGCATTATTAAAAAAAGCACAGAAAGAGTGGCAACTGATTCTTTTCTAACCTAGAAATCCATTGAAAAGAACCTAAGTGGAATAACTGCTTAAATGTAAACGGTAAACAGAGACTGAATGAATGACCACTTAGCAAGGATGCTATGGAAGGAAATCCTGTAGAATGTGGAGGTTAGCCTAGTGTTCAGTAATTTCTAAATCCCTTCCAGCTCTAAAATTCTGTGATTTTACAATTCTCCCAGCAGTTCCATTATTAAGAAACAATTACTTCTTGCCATTACTGCCAGATTAAATGGAAATTTTAGTATCTTAACTATAGATGCCTAAAATAAATTTCAACTTTTAGAGTGTGATACAGTTTACAGGGGTCTACCCATTTATTTCAGATTGAGACCTTGCCCGTATTTCAGAGTGAGTTTCACCGTACTTAACAGGACCTATTTTTCCCTAAATGTTCTACTTTTCCTGGCAACAGACAAAGTGAATTTTGAAAATGTTCAACAAATGTCACATCTCAAATACAGAAATAAGCACCTGCACCTCAAACTCCCTATGTTAAATTACTGTGACCAATTATTTAGATGCAAGTAACTGGTATACATGCTGCTTGGTCAGTTCTCTTCAACTTGGGGTTTACATCTGTTATTTTTTAAAGTAGCTGAGATGAAATAACAGTGCTAAGATGCTACGTAATTATGATTACCTAAGTAATTATGATTACCTTTAATAACCTAACTTGAATTCCTGGTTCTGAATATACGCTCACACATACACATAAATAAACACACACACACACACACACACACACACCTCTTTCATGTAAAAGGCCATTTAGGTTTAAGATGTATTTTGCAAAATATTTACCCACATAACCTCCAGGAATTACTAGAGAGATGAAATGTAAAAACAAACTACTTGAAGATGTTGTGGCTTCTAAACACAGATATAAGTTCTAGGAATTACCAATTAAAATCTTCTGATTCGTGAGTTATTGGGTTGTCGGAAAAGTCTTGATGCATTTTTACATAGAAAAACTCGTCATGACTTTTCCGACAACCCAACAGTTCTAAATGACATCGTCAGACTATGTCGCTTTCACCTGCTATTCCGTTTCTATTTTCGAGATACTGGAGCATAGCAAAGTGCTGTGCACTGGCAGTAGGGCAGTGAATCACAATGAAAACCAGTCTACAGAAGACACGTCTGAGTATCATTATTCCACATCTTTAATACTGTTTTAAAGGGTCTGTTACTCTTCAGCTATCTCAGTGTACTTGGGAATATAAAAGTAATAACTGTAATTGGAACAGTTATTCTAAATCTAAATAGAGAATTCCTATAGCAGTGTTTATTCAGAACATATTTTCATTGCAAATATATGTTAAAGTCCTCACAGAGTCAGAACACAACTCACAGTTTGAACAGAAACCTCAGTGTTTAAATCTCAACGTTCAGTAAAGTAAGCGTTACATAGTAGGTTGCTTTTTTAACATAAATCACTTATTTAAATAAATGAGATAGGACTTCTAACTTGTTAAAAGTGAAGAAACAATTTTTATGACTCGCCTTGACCAAAATCAATGGGTCACGTGCCGGATCACCTACCACATCAGGATGCAAACCAAACTCTCCTCACACAGCACACCATCAGGGACTTGGGTGTAGACATAACTACAGTTGGGGACCTGATGTCCTTTAGCTCGGGGCTAAAGAGAGAAGAAAAAAAAACTGTCGCAGATCAAGCCCCAATTTGCAGAACTTCACCGATAACAATGCCTTACTTTATTGAAGAATGTTTCTTGTGCTGAAGATAAACTTCTAATTTCATAGTGCTAGGCAATGGGAAGAAAGAGGGGTCCACTTTTTTTAAGTCCACTCTTTATAAAGTTATTTATTCGGTATGGAATGACTCTTCATTTCCTGCTCTAAACACAACCAAATCCTTTTTTTGTTCAAGTCTTGATTTGCCAGTTTATCTTCAACAAGTCAATCAGAAAGATAAACAAACCTTCTGACTTTACAAATAAGAATGGATGAATGGCCCATCCAATGGGCCAGCTCATACTTATTTAAAATACAACTAAGTTCTCAGTAAACAGCACCAATTTTTCAGCTTAAACTTAAGTTATCCTCACTGCACTGTTCTCATTCTCTTTATTTTTTACTTTTACATTATTTCTATAAATACTCAAAAACCAAAAATCTCTAATCTTAAAACCAACTTACACTGGAGGTCTGAGGTTAGTTTATAGCTTTTAAAATATTGTTAAAATGTAAAAACCCTGAAATTACAAACAGAAAATTTTACAGTATATATCTAATTTATTTATTTAAAAAAATATTCTGAGTTGTTTTTTACACAAGTAATCAAATGTGACTTTTTTCCAAATGAGACTCCTTCAGAGGCAGGAGGACACGTGGTGTGGCCCTACTAAAAATCAACACGCATTTCCTTCTTCATGCTGGAACTTCAACCACTTCGAAGTAGTCATTTGGAAGGATCACATAACCTCTCTCGGACACATCGTCTTTCTCCTTCTGGAAGTGCACGACCTCCTTCAGTTTTTCCAGCTGCCGTTCCTGCCTCCTGCACCGCTGCTGCGCCGTCTTGAGCTTCTTCCGGAGTTTCTCGACTTGCTGTTCGAGCTGGTGAATCCTCTTCCTCTGGTGCATGGTGTCCTCCACGGTATAGTTGTGGTCACAGAAAACAGAGAGATTGTCGGGGGTCTGCAGAGGGGGCATGAGTAATCCAATAGCGGCGTCAACCTGGGACACAGGCGGCGTTGGAGGTGGTGGGGGCAGCTGCTCCTGGGGCTCCAGGAGGTCTTCCTTCTAAGACAATAATGCAGAGTGTGTTTACATTTAGGAACTGAAAATAACAGTTTAAAAGAATTAATCCGGGGGCCAGCCGGTAACATGCTGGTTAAGATGCTAGACGCCCACACAGCCAACCATAGTTCAAGTCCCAGACCTGGTGACCTGCTTTCTCATGTTCCCTCTCTCTCTGTCTCGCTCTCTCTCTGATGAGTGCATGTGCCCTTTAGCAAAATGATAATAATAATAAGTTAAATAAATTATTCTCTTTTTTTAATAATTTCATTTACCTTTATTTATTTATTTATTTATTTTAATTTGGCCAGAGAGGGACAGAGAGAGAGAGGAAGAGAGAGAAAGTGAGAAAGCAAGCTGTCAGGTCCAGAACTTGAACTGCAGTTGGCCATGCGGGAGTCCAGTGCCTTTAACCACCACACCACCTGCTGGCCCCATAAATTATTCTTTAAAAAAAAGAATTAATCTGTAGAAATCTAACAATTATTAGACTCTTCTTATGCTTTTTGGTCTGAATCTGTGGTACAGGACCATTCTAAAATGAGAAAAATTTCAGTTTCAGTTAAATTTTACCTAAAGTGCGATACGAGCAAGAGATAAAATTACGACCAAGTCAATTTACTTAAATACTAAGTACTTAGAACTAAGGAGGAAAAGGCTCTGAAACTGTCACTGACAAAGAAACCTAAAACATATTAACAGCCAAGGAGGGGTCTATTACCATGATCTTTAAACATGTTACAAACCTAGATTGAGGATATTTAACTTTAATAAACCACACTTTGTGTTTTTAATTTGAAAGTACATCCCTGTTAACAGTGGTTATTTCAAACTGATGGGTGGGTCAGCCAGGGGCGCACGGTGGTTAAGGTGGCTGGGTCCCACATGGCTGACTGTGCTGTTTGAGTCCCAGTCCTCATGCCTTAAAAAACATGCTGGGCATCCTGAGGGAAGAACAGAGGAGAGATGTGTTGGCCAACTCCCTGGAGGGTGCTTTCTCACTCTCCACCTCCCACCCCATCTGTCTTTTTCTGGGAAGCACATGTGCGCTATAACAAAACTAAAATTTAAAAAAAAAAAAAAGGCAAAAAACCTGATGGGTTCTAGGTACATTTATTTTCTTTCTTTTCTTTCCTTTTTTTTTTTTTTTTTTTTTGAGAGGTTTTCACTATAGGGCGCGTGCGCTTGCCAGACAGACACAGAGAGACAGAGAGACAGAAAGCGAGAAATCACCCCCCAGGGGGGACGGTCACGCCACAATCCTTTCTCCTCCATTCTCCTCTCGGGATCTTGGGCACGCACGCACACGTGCCCGGCGTGAGTTCTAAGCCACCGGGTCTGGGACGCGAACCGCAGTCGACTACGTGGGAGTCCAGCGGCATAGCCATTACACTAACTGCTGGTTCCCATAGGTACATTTATTTTCTTAACCCTACCATGAATCTTCCAATTCTTCCAAAACACACACATTAATTTGATAAAGAGAAAGCAACTCAATATCCTAAGACACATGTTACCTTGTCATGGGGCTCAGTACAGAGAAAGATTGTAGGTACAGCGTTCTCTTTCAGTAACTTGTTGTTGCACTCCCTCTTAAAGCAGTCTGGAGTGAAGTGCTCGGAGCAGATACTGCTGTACTTGGTGGGTTTAAAGTTTTTTCTTCTGACAGCTGCCTCCCATTTTTCACAAAGACTGGGCCGAGTAAGAGGAAACCTAGAAAGAAGACATAATAATTCAGTTTTCTGAACTTTTTTTTTTTTTTTAATAAAAAAGGGACACAAACTTTCCTTCCTAGAAAAGACTATCTTACACTGGTGTTAACATATGAATATTTTATTTGATTTGTGTCATTTATTAATATTTAATTTTTTATATAGTGAGGACATTGAAGAGTCAAGTAAAACACAGACCACAAAATGAACCTTATTCATCTTTTTTTTTTTTTTTCAAAATTGTCAGAGTACATATGTACTTGCCAGACAGAGAGACAGAGAAAGAGGAGAAAGCAGTCGTTAGCTGGGTGTGGTCACACTGCAATCCCTTCTGGTCCACTTGACCAGCCTGTTTGCATCTTGGGCGCACATTCGTATTCAGTGTGCTTTTCAAATAACTGGGCCAAGATTTGAACCATGGTCTGTAATGTGGGATGTGGCTCCTTTCACCTTAAGGCTACAGGGCCAGCCCTGTATTCATATTGTTACGAGTAACTTCTTTACAAATACAAGAAAAAAACGAATACTGCATTAGACCTGGGAAATTATGCACTGGGAAAAAGAGGCTTCTATTTCTCTCAGAATCACTCTGGCAAACATAAATAGGGTAAAATTAAATAATGAGCAAATAATGACAAAACAGGAAATACACTGAAGTGAATCCTCTAGGTATTCTTTCTCTTTGAGGGGAAACATCAACATTCTAGAGATCTATGATGTCCTACCCACTCTTATTTCCACAGGGTCTACCTCATGTTGTATCAAATATACAAATGTCCCTATTAAGTATCCCCTATTACAAGGTTCGCCTACTCCCAGGCTACAGACCCGTCTTGGTCCATGACCTGTTAGGAAGGGAGCTGCACAACAAGCAAGTGGCGGGTCAGTGAGGGCATCTTCATCTGTTTCTATTTCTCTCAGAATCACTCTGGCAAACATAAATAGGGTAAAATTAAATAATGAGCAAATAATGACAAAACAGGAAATACACTGAAGTGAATCCTCTAGGTATTCTTTCTCTTTGAGGGGAAACATCAACATTCTAGAGATCTATGATGTCCTACCCACTCTTATTTCCACAGGGTCTACCTCATGTTGTATCAAATATACAAATGTCCCTATTAAGTATCCCCTATTACAAGGTTCGCCTACTCCCAGGCTACAGACCCGTCTTGGTCCATGACCTGTTAGGAAGGGAGCTGCACAACAAGCAAGTGGCGGGTCAGTGAGGTCATCTTCATCTGTATTTGCAGCCACTCCCCATCGCTCACATTACCTCCTGTCAGAACAGACCTTAGATTCTCATTTGCGTGTAAGCACTACTGTGAATGCAGGGGATGTAGGCTGTAGCTCTCCTAAACAATCCCCCGAACTTCTGTGGAAAAATACCCCTCCACAAAACAGGTTCCTGGTGCCAAAAGGTTGGGGACCACTGCCCTATTACACATAAATGCTCCCTCCCACAAAAAAAGTGAATATATTAAGTTTAGCTTCTCTAACTATTTAGCTATGAATAATCCACACAATTTACCACTAGACCTGATTTCTTAGCCATTATCCATGTATGAGAGAACTTCAAAAAGCTTACAGAAAAACAGAATCAAAGTACCAGTTTATTTTGGTGCAAAACAATCTGAAACCCATGCATAATTCTTTCATAATATAAAATTCCCATAAATGTTTTGAAAGCTTTTCTTACAAGTCTTGCCCAAAACCCTCACACAAAATCTGGAAACACTGAATTCGGCTGAATGTAAATGTCACTGTGTCACATTCTACACAGCCTAGAGGACTCTTAACTAATTTCATTTGTGCGGTTTTATTTTCCTATTTTCAAGAGGGTATTTTTCACCCTAGGACTAACTGCAACACATAAGATAAACTAGCTCTGAAAATTGTGGGGCATGCTCTGAAGGGCTTCCTCGATAGTTCACAGGGGGGCACATGGCCTTCACACATTATGGTCCCTGTTGGCAAGGCTGGAAAATAATGTTCATCTTGTCAGTACCACAAGCTGCTGTAAAACGGACAGGGTTTGTAAAGGATCCCAGAAACCGGGTACAAAAAAAATCATCCCTGATCCCCTGGCCAAAAACCAGTCCTTAATAGCTGATGCTGGCCTCCCATCCACAACAAAGGCAGAAAAACGCGATTTCTACGTCTTTTTAAAAAGACTGTTTCTATCTCGAAATTACGTGAAGAGAAATCCTTCCCCCCCCAGCAGCCGCTCGCGGACCCCGAACTCGCCAACCCGAGGTTCTAAGCGAACCTCGAAAGGAAACGGTTCCCATGTCGAAGAAAACTCTAAACCCGTTGCAGCGGACAAGCCTGAACCCACGTTCCCCGCAGAACCCGCGGGTTACGCGCGTGGGGCGGCCCAGCCGCGTCCGAAGCTCGCCAATGGAAGCCACGCCCCTGCCTAACACCGCCCCCTTCAGGCCACACGGCCTCCACAACAGGCGCCGGGCTCCGCCCCCTACCCCGCCCCTGACCTCGCCCCCGA